CATGGTTCAGTCACTAACAGCACAAGTTTCATTGAATCATTTCAAGGGTTGAATGATTTCAAAAGCCCTGGTCTCAGGAGAAGATTAAACTTTCAAACTGGGGCAGTGGTTCACTTTAAAACACAAAACAAACATTTTTTTAAAAATCCTAAGAATTAACTGAAACCCAAAATGGTCGGTCTTGAATCATGAGACCCATCCATTCTTGACATCATCTAGAGCTGCATTGTAAAATTTTTTAGGCATGTGTTAGGTTTCTGTGAAAACTTTGTTTAAATGTCATTATCATGTCATTGTCAGTTTTTGTCTTAATAAAACTATAGATTTATAATCCCTGAAAAAAAAAAAAAACTTTTAAAAAATCTTTCTCTACCCCCATATATTTCTCTGAATTTCCTATCTTGAAAAATAGCACAACTATCTACCATTATCTGGCTAAATCTTAAATCAGAAAACTTGGTATCATCACCCATTTTTCTGTCTCTTTCCATCCCTTAATCTATTCAATCAGTTGTCAAGTTTTATTGACTTCAACTATCTGAAATCCAGTTCTTTCTCTCCATTCTGTTGGCATTCATCATTAGTCCTGTAGATGAGTGCAATAGGGCTCTAACCAGTTTGTTTCTACTCTTGCCCTTCACTCTCTATCTGAAATCCAGTTCTTTCTCTCCATTCTGTTGGCATTCATCATTAGTCCTGTAGATGAATGCAATAGGGCCCTAACCAGTTTGTTTCTACTCTTGCCCTTCACTCGATCTTTACACCATCACCAATGTGATCTCTCTGCTGCAAAAATGTCTTGACATTCCTCAGTTAAACATTTTCAGTCGTTCCCTACTGTCCACAGGCTAAAGTCAGAGCTCCTTTACTATAACAGAAGATCTTCCATGAATAGACTCAAACTAAAGGGTTGATCTCTACTCAGTTCTAGCCAACTATTGCCATGCAGGGATATGGGCCCAGTGTTTCTAGATATTTAGATTTTTCAAGAGAAACTATACATTTAAATTTATATGAAAAATCTTTTAATTTTTTAAAAGTATCCTCAATTAAAAAACAATGACAACATCAATAACAGTGTTTAGGCCAAATAAAAAACTTCTGCTGGATGGATCTGTCCCAAGGCTCCCATGTTGTGACCTTTGGCTAAATACATGAAAGAAGGAGGTTGGTTTGTTAGGGAAGAGAAAGTGTTGATGGATGTGGAGGGAGGAAGTTGGAGAGGAGATGAGACTGACCCTGGAGAGTAGCTTCCCAGAAATTGGGAAGGGGATGAGTTTGGAGAGAGGCTTTCCTCTAGGTCATCTTGTGGCTTTGTGAACTGTGGATTGTGTCAGATCCTGGTAGCCCAAGGGAGGAGAAGGAATTAAATGTGCTTTCCTGCCTTGTTGCTTGGTGGTTCAGAGCAGAAAAAGTTTCTTTAAAAAAATAAGATGTGACATTTCTTGCACTTTGAATTTTGAGCAGTGGTTCATACCTGTCACACACCTCAGAGGTATCTGTTGAATTTTTCACCAGCAGTGCTTAAATAACTACAATTTTAGTATTAAGTAGAGCCAGTATTACTGGAAAGGAAGATATGCTAAGGAACAATAAAAAAGTAATGTGACATAGTCCAAAGCCACATAAATGATTTGAAGATTGACTTTATCACTGTTGTCTAGATAGTATAGATAAGCAGTTAGGGCCACAGCATCCTTAAAGGAGGAATTACATTTTAACTTTTGTGTCAATGCCAAAATTCTGGCATAAACTCTGTCCTACTCCCTTGTTTCAGTATCTGTAAAGAACCCCACATTTCCTGGGGGCCAAAAAAAAAGCATTCTTTATTAAGAGGGAATTTAGAAGGATAAGGAGTCACTTCCACTGAGTCATTGTTTCTGCATAGAGTGTGTTGACTCAACTAAAATGACTAATTTAACAGTGATTTCCTGGCCATTCAGAAACCACAGTTAGCAGTGGCTTCCCGCAAGAACAGCATAGGTGAGCCAGAGCCTCAGGGAGGACAGAAGGGGACAGAAATGATATTCTTTAACACTGCTTTCTCTTCTAGCCTTAAAGATGTTGAGGGAAATAGAAGCATGAAGGACAAGGATATGCCAGTCCCCACCATCATTCCTCATCCTCCATTTTTCTCTCCAGTCCACCAGGGCTATGTTAACTTTCTGGTGTGTTACTGTATAAATGTGCATGATTCCTTTCTAGGGTAGATAATTTTAAGGGTCAAAGAGGTATACAACCCTTTCATCCTAGAGCTATAGCTGCTACTATATTTATTTGCTTTTACATCTTATTTCAAACTCTTTGGGTTTGCAACTAGATAGACTTGAGCATCATTTGGTTGATTCTGCTTTATTTAGGGCCTGGATTATTCAAATATCTTCACTTGTTATTCTCTCCTCTATCAATAGCCACAAGTGAAGACCACAAGCTTGATAGAACAATGGTCTTAGTAAATATATGTTGAATGAAAGTGGATTAATTTAAAATTTTGTTAATCAGAGAAAAGGTTTTGGGAATTTGTGGCAGGAGGCATGAGGAGAGAAGGGCTTGATGTAAAAGACTGTAATTAAGTTTATCACTCTTTGCAGGCTTAAATGATCTAAGCTATTCCTGTCCTGTGATGTATGAAATAAGCAAAAGTTGACTATATAGTCTGTTCAAAACCAAAGGCTGCTGTATTACTCATATGTCCGTATGAGCCATCCCTTTTCATTTCAGTTGCTTTTGATGAGGTAGCATATACAAACACTGGCATAATAAAGATTTGATAACAGCAGAAAATAGTGTGTAAAACAGTCAGCAATGCTCAAGTCCTTACTTATCAGCTTGCATGATTTTACCTGCTGGGCTGTTCAGCTTTGGTGGGGAAATTCTGGTGGTTGAATACTTCAGTTTAGGCTTCATTTTTCAGGCTTCTGTTGAATTAAAATGTAATATTAGTTCAATTGTCTTAATTTGAAAATGAACAGAAACAACTATGACTAACTCAATATAAAAATTGATAACATAACCACATAGGGAAAATAATTACTTCAGTAAAATTTGAACATAGTATTCTGACTCTACATCCATACTAGAATATAGTCATAGGATAAAAAGAACTGCAAAGAAATTTTAAACTTTACTTAGTGGTTTATTTATTTATTTATTTATTTTTGTCTTTTTTGTGACTGGCCGCACCGCGCTCAGCCAGTGAGCGCACCGGCCATCCCTATATAGGATCTGAACCAACGGCGGGAGTGCAGCAAGCCGCACTCTCCTGAGTGCGCCACAAGGTTGGCCCCTTAGTGGTTTATTGTAAGTGGTAAATATGCCAGTGAGCGCACCGGCCATCCCTATATAGGATCTGAACCAACGGCGGGAGTGCAGCAAGCTGCACTCTCCTGAGTGTGCCACAAGGTTGGCCCCTTAGTGGTTTATTGTAAGTGGTAAATATTGGTATTGGAATTTGAGACTATTTTGTTACACAGTACTATAGATCAAATAAGTAGATATGTTGATGTCACATGATTTCACTGTAGGAGAAAGAAGATACAAATAAAAAATTAAAGAAGGCGAGGTGAGAAATGCCCTTACCCGTCCAATACCAAAGGATGGACTTGGAGACATGAGGTACAGCAAAGTGACACTTTAATTACGGCCTTGCAAGGTTTGGGTGTCTGAAGGGCAAGCACATGAAAAAGGGCTGTAGCAAGCAATTTATTCCCTAGTACACAAGTCCCTCCCCCCAGTTCCTCATTGGCTGAGAGTATTACAGGGTGTATGAACTTCCCAGAAGATGCCTAAGATTTATTACCCCCTTGTAAGAAATTTCACTGGCTGAGGGCTCAGGACAAGCCCGTGAAAAAGGCCCACTAAAGCCCTGTGAAAGGAGAAACATCAAGGAATGAAGAAAACAAGGGAACTAGTAACTAATTACCATCTCAAGGAGAGCTCTATCTGTTCAGTCATCCTCCGGGAATAGGCTGGACCAGACAGACAACTTTTGGGCTGGGCCTGAATCAGTTAGAACACCCGGAACTAGTAACTAATTACCATCTCAAGGAGAGCTCTATCTGTTCAGTCATCCTCCGGGAATGGGCTGGACCAGACAGACAACTTTTGGGCTGGGCCTGAATCAGTTAGAACACCTTCAGATAAGTCAATTCTGAAAGTGAATCACTTAGATTGTTTTCTTACACAAGGGAAAACCCCTGTATGTTAGATTTGAACTGGCAATGTTAGTGTGCCTATATCTTAGTTCTAAATACTTTCTTCACTGAAAGGAATCACAACTTCAAATCTGGGGCTGAGAAAGTGGTAGTAAACATGGAACATCTTGCTGTGCCAGAAAGCAGTAAGTCATTCAAAAACTACTGAAGTTGCGTCAAAAGCATGAGTGAATTGGCTTGAAGGGTCTCCTGCTGTCCAATTTTGGCACAATTTGAGTATCAAAAAAAATAACGATGGTAATTGACTATAAAGCATTTAATGGTTGAATGAATGGAGAGGGATCTATTCATTACAGAAGGAATGATAGAATTAGAAGGATCACTATCTTCAGTCTCCAATTTAATAATTAATTTAGGCAAGAATCCTCAATGGATGCTATACCTAGATGAGCAAGCTGAAAGAATATGAAGGTGTCTGTCATAAATTGCAGAAAGCTCCATATTCTTTTATTATGGTACTGCAACCTGACTTCATCATCAAGGTATGGCACTATTGCTGTGGTTTGTGGAGGGAGCTAAACTTCTTCTTCAGTCTTAAGCTCTCTTTGATATTGTCTGAAATTCTACCAATAGTTATTGCTTCTTTTTAAAAACGTTGGCCTCTTGTTTTGCTATATTAAAACAAAACAAAACAAAAACCCCCCTAAATTATCCGAGGAGTAGTAACAGTTTAAATCTCTATAAGCTTTATATTAATCAGCTCTTTTTTTTTTTTTGCAATGCAGAAAGAAAGGAGTCAATAAAAAGAGGGAAAACCTATATCATGTCCTAGAGGAAACAGCACTAGTAGGAGGGTCAAGCTTTGAAAAGGAGGAGGCATACTTCTTACTGTAGTAGAGGAGGAAAAGTGAGAAAATGAGAGTAGTTTTGATGTTTTAAGGGGTAGAAACATGAACTTGAGGGTCTTATAAAATGGCCTCAAACTTCTTAGTAATGTAGGTTGTGAACAGTGACTAAGAGGAATGAGCAATGGTTTGAATTTTTGAGGATAAGTTAGAAAAGTCTGAAACAGTTCCCTGGCGAATATAAAAATAATTAACTAAAGAATGGGGAGTTATGTTCCCATGGGTATAGAGTTTCAGTTCTGGAAAATAGGAAAAAGTTCTGGAGATGGGGGGTGGTGATAGTTGCACAACAATGTGAATATACTTACTAGTTTTCTCTTTTATCCAAAGGTATTTGTGTCCTAGAAGAAAAATTTCCCTGGCCATTGAAAAAAAAAAGTTTCATTTTCTCTTGGAAATGTTCCAATCTATACCTTATCTCTTGAGAGTCAGAGGTTATATTAGCATAGTGTTGATAGTCCTTTATTGAAGAATTATAGGTAACTTTATTTAACTAATTTTTTTCGGTAATTATTTGATCTCATAAGCTTTCTCTCCCCCATTATTATCCCCAAAGGCTACTTTAAAAACACACACTTAGAAGAACTCTGTTCTAAATTATTAAACATTAACTTGCATAGTTGAGCAAAATACCTAAGAAGCTGAAAATACATAAAGTCATCGACATGGATAAAGTCAGTACCTTTCTTAGAATCACATAAGTCAAAAGCATAATCAGGAAATATTTTCAAATCCTATTCTGAAAAACAAAGCATTTTCTTTAAATAACCTTCAGTTCTTTTACCTTAATAAATACGATCACTCTTTTCACCATTTTTTCAGACTAAAATTTACTCTTTACTCTCCTATTTTTATATCAGGAATATTTTAGAACACATGGCAATATAAACATCACTGGCTCTTTTTTGCTGCTTTTTCCAATGACATATGGCAAATATTCTTGCACATTGGTTATGATACTCACCTAAGTTATAAATGTTAGGTATGGCTCTCAGATGATGTGGTTTCCTGTGACCTGCCCTTGGTAGTAGTTAGTGAAGTTACATTTATATATGTACACACACATGGATTAAGCAACATTTGGTGATAGCATTTGATGAATGAAGCAATGCAAATAGAGCTAGTTGACTGGATTAGAATGTGTGGGAGCATACAACAGCTTTCTGATTATCTTAGTTGTAGCACTTTCAAAGTTATACTTAATCAATCATTAATTTTTATGAAACTTCTATGACAGGGATTCTACGTAGTGTTTATTATATTATATAGAGTATACAAGGACACAGACTGTTTAATTGCCTTTCTCTTTTCTATAGAAAGCTGAAAGCTTTTTAAGTAGTTTTTTTCTGATTATAAAAATGACATATGTGCACTTAGAAGATGTGTTAATGACAGGAAAATATATATGCTATAGATTCTGACATTCTCTTTTCAATGTAGAAATACTACACACATCTATTTTTACTAAAAAATAGAAACATACTGCAAATATTTTGTAAGCTGCTTTTTCCATTTTCCAGTTAACACTGTGTCATGAATGTTTCCACACGTTAGAAACATTCTTTTTAAAATTTAATTTAATTTAATTTTATCAGTATACAAAGTGGTTGATTATTGTGGCCCATTACTGAAAGTTCCCTCCCTCTCCCTGCTCCCTCCCAACAACCTCATATCTGTTTGCTTGTCATAACAACTTCAACGAATTGTGATTATTGTGTCTTCTTCCCTCCCCCCCAGTTTAATTGTGTATTTATTTATTTATTTTTAGCTCCCACAAATAAGTGAGAACATGTGGTATTTCTCTTTCTGTTCCTAACTCATTTCACTTAATATAATTTTCTCTAGGTCCATCCATGTTATTGCAAATGGCAGTATTTCATTCTTTTTTATAGCAGAGTAGTATTCCGTTGTGCACATATGCCACATTTTCTGTATCCACTCATCTGATGATGGACATTTGGGCTGGTTCCACCTCTTGGATATTGTAAATAGTGCTGCAGTGAACACTGGAGTACAGGTATACCTTCGACTTGATGATTTCCATTCCTCTGGGTATATTCCCAGCAGTGGGATAGCTGGGTCATATGGTAGATCTATCTGCAATTGTTTGAGGAACCTCCATACCATTTTCCATAGAGACTGCACCATTTTGCAGTCCCACCAACAGTGTATGAGAGTTCCTTTTTCTCCACAACCTCGCCAGCATTTGAAATAAATTTACTTACATTATTTTCTAAAATTTTATTGTTTAACATTTTATTCCAAAATCTTTGATCTGCTATTACTTTTAGTATAAAGAATAAATTAGGGATTTTTTCCCCCCAAATGCTTATTCCAACTACATTAGAGGAAGTGAAGTTTTACATGTTATATTGGGACCAGTATGCAGAGGGCTGTGAATGCTACAGTAAGGAGTTTGAATTTTATCCTACAGACAACAGGAATTTCTCGAATGTTTTTTTTTTTTTTTTCCTTTTTTTTTGTCTTTTTCCGTGTCCGGCAA